TCTCTCTCTCTCTCTCTCTCTCTCCCTCGCTCCCTCCGTCACTCCCCCCGTCCCCTCTGTTGCTGTGCTCTTACAACGTTCTCTCTCCCCCCCCATACAACGTGACTTTCAGCTGGAGCTGGTGACACGGTCGTTCTCGCGGACGGAACGTACAACGAGGCTATCGTGACAGTGCAGGGAGGGGAGAGCGGTAACCCCCTCATCATCACGGGAGGCAGGGACGCCTTGGTCAACGCTGGCGACGACGGGAAGTGAGACATTCCTCTGGTCTTGTTGTCATTGTTGTTGTTGTTGTTGCTGTTGTTGTTGTTGTTGTTGTTGTTGTTGTTGTTGTTGTTGTTGTTGTTGTTGTTGTTGTTGTTGTTGTTGTTGTCGTTGTTGTTGTTGTTGTTGTTGGTCTTGTTGCTGTTGTTGCTGTTGCTGTTGCTATTGCTATTTGTGTGTTTGGTGTTGATGATGTTGATGACGTTGTCCATGTAGATAATACCATGTACATACTGCCCTGCCGGATGTCCGCCGCCCCCTTTCTCCCTCGCTCCATTTCATGCTTCGCCATGGATTGATTTCCCGCAAACCGATGGCGACATGGACGCGGCCTGACGTACCACGGCGATAAACAGGGTCGTGTATGTGCAGCACTCATGGGTGACCCTGGAGGTAAGCGCTCGGGTTCTGAACCTTGCCATGCAGACTAATAGTTCTAAATAGGTGCACGCAACACGAGGGTGTCGGGGGGGACGTCGGCCAAGCAGATGCCAGTCTGTTCAGGAACTCAAGGACCGTTCCCATGCGGATGTGAATGTCCCAATGTTCCCTTTTATTTTCCGGACAGAGCTGTAGGTTACACCATCATAGCATCATGCTGCCGGCTCCTCCTCCTCCTCTAGATGTGGTCGAGCTACCCCCGTAGCTCAAGGGAGTCTCTGTCTCATATCGTCCTCTTCGCTTTCTGTCCCCCTCCCACGCTGTGTTTATGTCTCTATCCCCCCGCTCCCTCCCTCCTTCCCTCCCTCCCTCCCTCCTTCCCTCCATCCCTCCCTCCATATCCCCCCCCCGCCCCCCACTCTCTCCAGGGATTTTCTGTGGACGGCAAGATCTCGGACGATGACGAGGCAGAGTCCTACGTGGACAAGTGCGTCTTCGTTGAGGGCACTAGCACAAGCGGAGACGAGCGGCTGGAAGGATTCGTCATGCAAGACGTCTATGTCCAGAACTGCGGGTGAGAGGAGGCAACGTCATGATGTACCGCAGGTTTCATACGCAAGATACCACACCCCTGGACCGATGTTTGGAGCTGAATTTCTCTGCGGGAAAAGCAATGACGGTGCCGAAAATGGCGGCGTTGGAACCGTCTCGTCGAGAGCTTTCCGAAAGTGTATCTCTTGGTTTCGGCATCCTCGTCGTGGAGTATTCGAGCTTACAAATCGGTCCAGGGGGCATGATATCTCATGCAACCTACGGTAGGAGAAACTCGGCGGGTTCAGATTGTCTGCCTTTTCATTGTTTTTTTGCAAAATCGGATGAGTGCGTGCAGTACAGAATTGATTTAGACAGACATGCTTATAACTTCGAGCGGGTTCCGATTGTCTTGTCATTTTCGATTTTCGACAAATGGGATGAGTGCGTGCAGTGAAGTATTGTTTTAGGCAGAAAACGTTTTGTAACACCGCGGGTTCCGGTTGTCTACCTTTCTTGTTTTCCGAAAAAAGGGATGAGTGCGTGCGGCTGAAGAGTTTCATAGTGGGCGCCGTGATCAGCGACAACGTTATCCAAGACTGCGGGGTCAGGGACTTCGTGTACGGCAACAGCGGGAAGAACGGGGAAGGGATCTACGTCGGGACCTCCAGCACTCAGGTACATGCACATATGCGTGTGATGGGTGCAGTGTCGATCGATTGATTGTGCGCATTGGGGACATCGCGCATCTCGCTCTCTCTCTCTCTCTCTCTCTCTCTCTCTCTCTCTCTCTCTCNTCTCTCTCTCTCTCTCTCTCTCTCTCTCTCTCTATCTCTCTCTCTCTCTATCGCTCTCACTATCTATCTCTCTATCTAGCTCAGCCTTTCTGCTGCTGTTGGTGTTGGTGATGTTGTCTTTGCCGCAGCCTTCGCTAGGAATCTAATCATTTTTTATTAAGGTGATTGGATAGGTTTGGGGGATAGGGTAGGGGTTAGGGATTCGAAAGCCTCCCGGTAGAGTCTTTGTCCCGGTTTAGCAGTTCATTGTGCCACACAATGTTATTCCCGCTTTTGAGAGAATCGCCGCTAAAAAACCGGATTGGCGAACCCTAACCCTACCCCTAACCACTTCGACAGTGGTCTGACGGCCCTGACGAGTGCAACGACAACACTATCACGGGAAACACCATCACCCCCAACGGCAACGAGTGCGTGGACATCAAGGAGGGCTCGACGGGAACCATCGTCGAGGAAAACACGTGCAGCGGGCAGCTGGACGAGGACTCCGGGTGCTTCGGCTCCAGGGGGGATGGCAACGTGTTTCGGTGAGTTGGTTAGAGCCGCAATGCTGTTGTTGTTGTTGTTGTTGTTGTTGTTGATGTTGTTGTTGTTGTTGTTGTTGCTGTTGGTGTTGTTGCTATTGCTGTCGGTGTTGTTGCTGTTGCTGTTGGTGTTGTTGCTGTTGGTGTTGTTGCTATTACTGTTGGTGTTGTTGCTGTTGGTGTTGTTGTTGGTGTTGTTGTTGTTGCTGTTGTTGTTGTTGCTATTGCTGTTGTTGTTGTTGCTGTTGGTGTTGTTGCTATTGCTGTTGGTGTTTGTTGCTGTTGGTGGTGGTGATGGCGTTGGAAACTGCCTTGATCTCCATGTAGTAGACTGTATCCTCTACGGTATGGTACATAGCCCTCCACCGCATCTATTACTATTCTGGCGCTGGTTTCAGGACGTTCGGCGTATTCCTGACGTATCACGCGGCGTCACACAAGAGGAAGCTCACACAGGACCTGAGACCCGTAGATATATTGTTGCATGGATTTTAGAATGCTAGTACCATTGTATGCAGGGTATAGTGTGGAATAGAAATACCTTTTTACACACGTAATTTTTGAACCTTCGCTACACGTAAGTATATGGTTTAGGGTGGCCATATTATTTTCATATGATCTACACTAGTCCTATGTTATAACTTGATTTATCTAGGTACAACACGGCCTCGGACTGCCTAGGCGTTGGCGTACGCATCGGCGGCTGGGAGGTCGACGGGCACAAATACGGTCAAGACAACAGTGTGAGTGGCAGGCGCGCAGGGGAACTATTTCATCTTTTGCATGCATTAGTAGTTAGATCATTGACCACGCGTCCTCGAGAAGGCGGAGATGCGTTGTTCCCACAGGAGGACCGATCAACGATGATGACCAATCGTTCCTTCCTACTTTCCCAAAGGTGGCTCAAAACTGTTGTCCTATCCTATCGATATCACTTGCCGCCCTTTCAACCGACTTCCTAGCCCCCAGCACAGAGGGAGTGCGGGCGGGTGGTGTAGTGAAGCATATGAGAGCGCAGAACACAACAATTGCCCGACACATACAAATGTTTTTTCACCTGCAGCTCGACGCAGCTCTCGCGGTCTATTCATAGCTGCACCCAATACCCATCAGATCCGAGGGGTGGAGGGTGTACCGATGTAAGCGCATGCCGTGTCGTTAGACCATTGACCTCGCATCCCTCCAACGCCGGGACGGGTTGCTGTGATGCCGCGTTGCCGCCGGTCGGTCACGTTCGACTAGGGAGGGGGAGTGTACTGATGCAAACGTGTGCCGTAGTCGATAGGCCATTGACCTCACATCCCTACATCGCCGGTGCGTACATGTAGGAACGATGTTATATGCATGAAGAGTTTTCGCCGGCCCAGGCTATGTACGTTTTACAAGGCTGAGCCGCAAGCATTGCTGGGGAAAAAAACAACATGCAGATGAACCAGGAGTTGTGCGGGTGTTTGCACTTTGTAAAAGCATGGTGTAGTCGATAGGCCATCGCCCTTGAATGCCTAAAGTAGTGCAATGCCGAGATGCCGGGTTTCGCCGACCCAGGCTATGTACGTTTCACGAGGATGAACGAGAAACTTTGCGGGAAAACAAACACAACGTTTAACTGCAGCAGTTGTAGCGGCTGCGGTGGAACCCAGCATCAATAACGGCAGTCTCGGAAACATCTCGTCGAGGGCCTTCGGTAGACATTTCGGGTTCTTCCCGCGCCGCCTTGTTGTTGGTGAATATTTGAGCTTTGAATCTCGGGCTAGTCTAGGAGGGGGTGCCATCTCTCCGCCTCTTCAATGCAGTACCCGAAACGGTAAGTGGTAGAGCCTCGCCTCCCCACTCATGCGTTATCCACCCCTAGCGTTTTGTCCACCTTCTTCCATCCACCGACCACACTAAAAAACTGTCTCATTTTCTTCTTTCCCCTGTACTCTGTTCAGTACACCTACCACGGAAAAAAAAAAAACATGATCGAAAGTCCCACGAACATCTACCAATTTAATCCAACAAACACGGAGTGGATTATAATAGGAACAACAATGAGTACCTCATTCCAATTTGTTTTTTTGTTCAACAACCAATGAAAACAAATGAAACGCAGATCTACGAAAACAGCTTCACGAGAGCAGAGTCGGGCGGCCTGAGCTTCTTCGCCCTTCCCCAGGGCAAGGTCTGCGGCAACTCCTGCCAAGGCGGGGCCGTGCGACATGATTGAGTGAGTATTCGCGATCTGCCTAAATCAACGCCAGACTAGAAATGTTCTTGTGGTGCAGTTGTGATAAATGATCTGCCCTAAATCATCACAACTACATATAGTTATTTGGTACAGTTGTGATGAATGATCTGCACTAAGTCAGCGCAACAATAAACAAAATAATAATATATAGAGTTATTCTTGTGGTACAGTTGTGATGAATGATCTGCACTAAATCAGCGCAACAACATGTAGAATTATTCTGCGGTATAGTTGTGATGAATAATCTGCACTAAATCAGCGCAACAATATTTCATTTCAAATTGAACATGAGATATTTTTACGATGTAACAGTACAAAATAAGTCCTACATATGTTGTTGTACTTCGTTTTGGTTTAATGTTCATGTAGAGTATGAGACATTAAGTGAAAGTTTTCTGAGGTACACCTGCAGTTGTCGGAAGGCAAAAAAAAAATATATATATACTTCTATATAGAATTATTATGTGTTACAATTGTGATGAATGATCTGCACAAATCAGCGCAACAATATGTAGAATTATTCGGTGGTACAGTTGTGATGAATAATCTGCATTACTGTAGTGCAAGACAACCAGTAATATACTTAATATCCTAATGGCACAAATAATTGCAATGAAGTTGACACCCCTCCAGGACACGCCTCCAAGACACCCGTCCAGGTATGTATGTGTGCGACCCCCGCTACCCGTTGTCCTTAGTATACGTTTCATTTGGGTAACAAACCGCGTCTTGGAGGACTAGACTATTCTGGGATCCATTTTTTTTTGCTCGATTCCTACAAGGGCGTATCCTTTTTCTGCGGGTAGCTGGCTTGTGACCGCCGAAGGCGTCCGCGTCGAGTGGACCAGCACGGGACATTAGAAGGGTCTGAGCGGAGATCGGAAAGTTTTTTATGGTCAAGACAGCGACAATATGTGCGTTCCAACATCGATATTTTCATATCACTCCCACCGTTTTTCCTTGGTACGAGCGTGTTCCCACTCGACTCAGTGACCCATACTGTTTTCGTGGTACGACAGTGTTCCCGATCGATTCAGTGACCCACCAAGGGTGTCTACGTGATATTCCGGACACTTGCCCGCCCCCGCGGGGGGAGGCGATTTCGATTTCTGTCTCACACAGGAATTAGCATAGGAGGCTCTGTTCACGAGAATAAGTCGTCGACCCCCCTACTGCAGAGGGTTTTCTATCCGCGGTGCCCCTTACGCGAATACGTCGAAAATAGAGCTCTGCCCCCCCCACACGGATCCCGATTTTTGATTTGTGGGCCCATATCTTGATTTTTTTTTCACGTAGTCCCCTTGGACCCACCCCCTTGTCTTGGGAATTCCAAATTGTCTCCATGGCACGAATTGATTCACAGGGGCTTGAGTGACGAAGGCCTGGAGTCCACGTGGGACCAGCCCTGCTACGACTCGGACCAATCCAGGTGAATTTTGCCGTGGCGCACGCAACCAGTCGTGATTGCTGCTGCCGTTGATGGTGTCGGTGGTGTGGGTGTTGCCTTTGCTGTTGCCTTTGCTGTTGCCTTTGCTGTTGCTGTTGCGGTTGCTGTCAGTGGGAGCGTCATTGACGACGAGGTGACAGGTGTGGTCGTTGTACGTTTCGTTCATGGAAACGACCCACAGTAGCGGACACGCCGGCACATGATTTTTTTTTTTCCTCACATTTTGGCGCCCCTTGACACGCCGCTAAATGATTCTATGACGTACATAGTTTTCGTAATTTTGGCACCCTCTCTGGGTAGTTAGCCTGTGGCCACGTCAGGCTTTCGCCGGCATTTTTTTGCCTGAAAAATTCAGTGTGTGACGTTCCTGTTTCCTGTCCCCTGTCTGCGAGACGCTCGTCGGACATGCTTGTCGAACGTACCGAAAGGTAGGTGACTGGCGCCCAGAACTGACGTGGTCAGAAATCACACGCAACGACGATGTGAACTCATGGCAAATCTGTCCCAGACTTTTGTCTGTCGAGGAGATGAAACTTCTACTTGCTGCGCCATGAGAAAATGTATTCTGAACACCCGCCTCGTTGTTGTTCTTACTGTAGCAGCGTCACCGATGGTGACAGCAGTGACAGCGACAGCGGGGGGAGCAGCAGCGTCAGCAGCGCGCAGACTTTCGGTGACGGCAGCAGCGGTGGCAACACCGGCAGCGACGGTAGCGCCAGCAGCAGCAGAGGTGGCGACGGCAGCAGCAGCGATGGTGACAGCAGTCGCAGCGGTGGCGACAGCAGCAGGAGCAGCAGCAGCAGCAGCAGCAGCGACAGCGTCAGCAGCGTCAGCAGCGTCAGCAGCGCGCAGAGCGACAGCGTCAACGAGCCAACCGCCCCACCGTCACAGACGAGCCAGGAGGATGACGAGGAGGAGGAGGAGATGGAGGAAGAGCAGGGAGATGAGGAGTCTTTGGGGAGCGAAGAAGCTGGGGATTGCCAGCCAGTGCCGGTAAGGATATGCACACTTTTAGAAAATATGACGGTGGTCCTTCAGTGACGTTGCGCAGGCCGGAAAAAAAAAACCAAACGGTTCTTGCCATCCGCTCACAACCGCACGGACAACCATTTCCCCTCCATTTTTTTGTTTGTGATTTTTCCCAGTCAATTGCGGTGAGTTCAACCCATTCAGTCAAGACAACCTTCCATCATACTGTCGTTGAAGAAGCCGAAATCACACGATTCGAAACCGAAATCAAACCAGTGGTCTAGACTTGTTCTAGGAAATTCATCTTGTATGTTTGCGTTGGCCGCCGCACCGATGAACTCGCGGGTTCCCACTACTTCTTTCGTGTGAAGCACAGAAAATTGTTCCCTCCTCCCCCCGAAATTGTATTCCTTCCGAAGCTATTATGTGAATGAGGAGTGAATTCAAAGAAGCCCCTCAAACGTTCCGCTATCGCAAATGAGCGCCGCTGGCACCACTAGCGGCTATGGCCACCCGGCAGTACGGTAGCGCCACTTCCTGACCCCCGTCTTCCCTATTTCGGCGCCTTAGCTGCTGCCCTCGCCATGCTCAGTTTTCACAACGTTTTTCGTTTCGATTCTGCAGCTCTTGCCCTCCCATAGTTTGGTCATACGACTCTTTCTGACGCCCTCGCTCATTTTTCTTTCTCGATGCTGCAGCTGTTGCCCTCGTCATGTTCCGCCCACACGACACTTTCTGACCTCCCCCCGCTCACACTTTCTGTCGGTGTCAGTGTCTCAGCTGCTGCCTAGTATATTAAGGTCACACGACGCTTTCTGACCTCCTTGTTTCCCCTCGTTCACTTCTGAATGTGGCCCTCGCATGTTCAGGAAACTCCACTTTCTGACGTCCCTTCTTCGTATACTCCCTATCTTTTCCATGTCGACGCTGCTGCAGCTGCTGCCCTCGTACATTCAGGCCACCACCGCCACTCAGGCGGAGCACCCGGCGTCTTCCCTCGTAGACGGCGACTTGTACAACCGATGGTCCGCTCAGGTGAGCATTTTCGCTCATCCTCCGGGGTGCTTTTGTGATCGAGCTTGCATCGAAGCTTCCACAAACAGAAGGAGAGGTAGTCCGACAGATTCATTGAGTCCAATACGTGACGAATTCATCGCGTTGCCGATCGGTTTCGCCGTGCATTGGACGTCCCGTTGGCTTCTGTGATGATGTTGTCCTGCGAGCAATTTCCCTTCGCAATCTTCTCCAATCCTGGTGAACCTGACACCCTGGTCTCATACAACAACCTCAAAACATACAAATGAATCATTTAATCACGTGATCTTCGCAAGTCTCACAAGTCGCAAATGACGTGATTTCACTATGGTCTTCCTTAACTCACGACTGACATGTAACCTTTGTGTACTATGGTCTTCGTAAGCTCACAACTCGCAAATTTCTTGACGTTGTCGCGATTGACTGTATTTCGTCATTCATGACTTTGATGTTTATTATTGTGCAGGGCGCCGGCGCCTGGTTTTCCATCGAGCTGCCGGAGGCGGTGGTGTTGTCAGGGATGAAGCTGTGGTTCGAGGATGGTGACGAGAGGAAGCAGAAGTTCACAACCGTCTGTGTTGGCAGTGGAGAGGTAGCGTGACAATCCCCGAAGACACTCACAATAGTGTGGCAGCTTTCACAACTCTCTTGGCGTTTTTTGCTGTATTGATGAGATGGAAGACTCATGATAGAAGTGAAGCAGCAAAGATTGTAGAGAGGTGACGTAACAATACCCAAAAGGCACTCACAGTAGAGAGGTAACGTGACAATCCCCAAAGACACTCATAATAGTGTGGCAGCTTTCACAACTCTCTTAACGCTCCTCGCTGTATTGATGAGATGAAATATGCAGAATAGAATTGAGCAGCAGAGGTGGTAGATAAGTTTCTCGATACCATGATGAGTGTGAACCACATAGATTGCCGAACAGCAGGATAACGAAGAACGCGACGTACTGATTCGAGAATGTATGCAGGGCGATAAATATTGAAACTCGCTGATATTGAAGTGTTGTGTTGGTCGGGTGGTGCCTGGCATCCAATCAGGCAACTCATTGATCGGGATTGCGTCAATCGGGTGTTTCGTCGTGTCCAATCCATCAGGTTATCATTCAGGAAGAAGAGAGCGTGATGGGGGAGGCCGGAGAGGGAGAGTTCTCCCCATTTCAAGAGGAGATGCTGATGAAGTCGGTCATGATCGTGGGGTACGGGAACACCATCAACGACTGGAATAGGTAAGCACAGCCGTGCGTTCTACGTGACCTGAGACGGTCGCAGAGTCGGTCATGGTCCGTTGTTTTTGTTGGTGTGGGTTGGTGTTCTTTTTTTATTGTCTTTACGCTGACAACCGTTCCGATCTCTCTACTCAGTCCCTTCATCAGTCCGTACTATCGCCGGTCGCCCCGGTGGTCTAGTGGTATCCTCGTAATCCGCTAGTCGCTGAGGTCGTGAGTTCGAATCCCCATGGGGTGAAAACTTGACGGAATTTGCGGGTGAAAGCGAAAAATAGCTAGTAAGCTCCCGTGAGTACCAAACTTCGACGGTAGCACCGTTGAAGAGGGAAAGGGACGGGTGGACCCTTCTCGCGATAATAATAGATTTGAGCACGCACCGAGGAGGAAGGTGGGGCATGAAAAGAAATAAAAAGAAGGAAAAAGCCCTGGTGTTTTCCCCGTCCTGTGTGGCCCTGGATGGTTGTAGTTGTACGAAAAAATACACTGAAAAGTGTAGTACTCTACATACTCTGAAAAGTGTACTACACGTCTCACCACGAAAGATGGGGGGACTGTCGCCATAATAAAAAGGACGAAAACACACACACACACACACACACACACACACACACTATTCTAGCGCTTACGTGGTCGACTCTCGTGAGGTCACAGGTAAACTTTCCAGAAGTTGGTATACAACAGTATTAAAAGGGGCCCGTAGAGGAATACAGCGAAACTGCCAAGGACCGGAATGGATGGGTGCAGCGGTATACCCGCGTTCTCTTACGTTGTCCGGGGGGTGTGGGCTACCAAATTCGAGACAAGCGACCCTACTACATTCACTGCGGGCATTCCTGTAGCGTTCTACAAATATTGCCCTACCAGGCTCAAAGCGGATAATCGTATAGCGCAATCAGCCCTACTACATTCACCGTAGGCAATAGTGTAGGGCCGGGCGTACGACATCTAGCCTATTTAATGTGGCCACCAGACTAGGTCAGGCGCCGCCTCCCCGAGTGAATAGCCATGTTTTTCGGGCGGCGGGGGATGAATCACCGGCGGTGCCGGTGTGGTTCTTTGCGCTTCAACAGTCGTATCGACGTTGCTCAGGGCTTTACATTTTCCGTGCTCGTCCAAGAGCCCCTTCTGCGGCCACACGCTATGTCGCTACCTCACCACTCCAACCACAATCCGGGCACGGAGAGAGAAAGGATCGAGAACATTCCCCCGTGCCTACCAAAACAGTCAAGATGCCGCTTGTCTGTGTGAAATTGACTTGGCATCGCACCAAATATATCGAGAAATATTGACGGTGAAGCAATGATTTTTGAAAAGATTATGAATCTAGAAATAATGACGTACCTGTAAAGCAATTATGTTCGAGTCGGAATGAATTGAGAATCACTTCGCCCCCACGAAGGACACGTCGAATATTCGCCACAGTAGTTGGCCCGGGCCGGACGACGAGGATACTCGCTGAACAGTGAGCGGCCTAGATGAACGTCTGGAATTAGTTTTTTGAGGGAGTGTGTCCACCGAGAATGCCTTGCTCTTTCGCTACCGTAGATGGACGGACCAGCCACGTACGCCAACCACGGAACAGAGCGTGGTCTTGAATGAACGAACGGTGTGGTCCGAAAGCCGTGGCACCCCACTGGTTAGACGTTTGGCCTCTGGGTAGCCTTTCCTACTGCAGACCGCAGACGTCAAGTTTATCTGGCTTTCGAAACCAACCTTTGGAAGCATCCCTCTGTGTGCGGATGCATGGGTTGGGTTAGTGGTCACCTGACGTCAAGGCGTCTCCTCAATCACCTGAGCCGTTTTTTCTCCTACATCCCGTGTGTGTGCGCTTGTGCGTGTGTGCATTTTGTTTGGGAACGAACCATCTGACTCTTTTCAGCATCAACGAGATCTGGCTGTGTGAAGGAGGCCAGAAATCTTCCAGGAAACTTCGGGGAAACACCTAGGGAACCTTCTTGGCGGCGGTCCGGGTGGACGGAGACGTGAGTGATCTACTACAATTCACGTATGACTGTCATGCTGTTGTAGGGAGTGAGTGGGCAACGCCTGCCAATGGTGAGTTTCGGTCCCACACGAACACTTGTTCTTGAAGTATATTTTTTCGAAAATCCGGCGGCAAATTGTTCATTCAACACAATGTGGTATACGTTTTCTCAGTTTCATCATTTTGCGGGTGGTTGGCGTTCCCTCGGTTCCGAGGTATTTGTAACGTTGATGAAGTGGATATGATCGTCGAGGAGGCTTTCGTACCGTCAAATGCCACACTGTCCTCCGTGCTACCTCCATGAAGTTCGTCTCCCACGTGATGAAGCTACCATGGCATGTAGCGGACAGTGATGAAACTATCACCACCGAACATCCCGCGAGATGTTCCTAAATACCATGGCGCATGCATCTCACGCGCGACGAAACTGTTTGTCCATGCGTATCTCACACGTGATGAAAGGTACGCGTGCGCGGTGGTAGTCCATCTATTGTCTCCCAACACTGTTGCCCAATACCCCAATACAGGCCGCACCGAGCGCACTCAGATTCATGTCTTGTTCTCGTCCGACTTTGCTCAGTGAAGAGGCGGTGCAAATAACGGTCACTGGGGGTGCAGAAGTCATGATGCCTCGCCCGCCGCCGCCCTCACCTATATTCCTTCCCCACGCTCATGCCCCCCAAACGGTGATTATTTGCTTGCGTTTCCCGACCGACGAAAACAGATGACCGACGCCCGCCACAACCTCTCGTTCAACAACGGCTGTGTCCATGGGGGTTCCGAGAATCGACAACCCCGCCGACAGGGGCCCCGCATCGGTAGAGAGGGAAATCAGTTTGTAGATAGGCAAGCTCCCGTGTGTCTGTGGTGGGGCCGTTGGGGAGGAAGCTGCGGGTATTGTTGTAGATGTCCTGGTTGCTCTGCAGGAAAACGCGGGGACTCATCTTGCAATGACTTCATGCAGTACACCGTCTAGAAATTATTTATTACAACGAGGACTTCTCTGGGCTGAAGTTCGTGAAGTACAACGTCTGGAGAATATTTATTACAGCGAGGACTTCTCTCGGCTTAAGTTCGTGAAGTACAACGTCTGGTGACGTATCACAACACACACACAGCAGCATGCGTAGGACGGGGGTAGGCGATCAGGCAGACCACGCGCCTGGGAAAATATTAACCGGGGGTCAAGAGCGCGTCAGGCAGTCTTTCCTTTCTGTGCGCGAGTGATGTTTCAATATCCCGGTTGTGGTAACGTTGTCATTTCGCCGGGTGCTGAGGGGGCTCCGCGGACTAGGATGGCCACGTCTGTGCAACGTCGCAGCCTCTGTTCCAAAGTGTAAAGATACGTTCGTTCTGTTATGGGAAGACGGGGTTCTCGCCCTTGGAGTTGGACCGATATTATTAGCTATGGGAATATTTGGTTCTGTTCCGTCTAGAATGGGAGAGACATGGGGCCGTCTTGGCAATTGTGTGAAATAATGAGCGCTCACGTTCGGATCGCTCTTCATTCGTGGGTTGAGGGATTTCCACAACCCTCAAATGAATTGTTTTTGAGGTTCTAGCCCTCGGGAATGAGGGCAAATTGATGTTGTCGTGGCTCGGGGTTTTTTGAGAGATTGACGGGATTGCTCTCTCACTCTCGAGTGAGAGCATCACGCAGTGGTCCGACTGATGTTTCATTTTCTTCGTCCTGTGAGAGAAGTTGTCTGAGCTGGTTTTCCATTCGGAGCATGTCTCGCGCCTTCAGCGCACAGATCTGGGTCTCTTGGTCCCTGGTGTAGCTTCTCCTTCTACAGCAGTGTCTTGATCGGGATTCAATTGAACAGTTTTTCATATGTTTCCGCTCCTGGCGTTACTTGCCGAGCCTCGTGGTATTGTGTTCGACGAAGGATGGGCCGCAAGAGTCTTGTGACCTAGTCTGGTAACGTTGGATACTATTGCCGCTAGCCGACGCTGTCCTTCAAGAGACAGTTTTTTCCTGGGTTTTGTGTGCGTTTGTGCTGCTCCGTTGGATATATAACCCCCCCCGCCACAACACAACGGTAACTACAGGTGGGGGCATCGTGGAGTACAGTAGTGCTGTACGGTAGTATTCCCGCCCTTCCGGCGAATGACGCTGTACGTGGTTTTCCGCTCTTGCGCGTCATGTTGCGTCTTTCATTCAATCATTCTGTCGGAGAAGTGGTTGAGATATAGGTACAGATAGAGGATGCGCTGGTAACTCGCGGCCTCGGGTATTAGTGAGCTGGGTGTTTAGAGGAAGTTCCTCTTGTGGTGCGGTTGGTTCTAGGGTAGGTCCAGATCGAGGATGCGTTAGTTGCTCGGGGCCTTGGGTGTTTGTGGGCTGGGCATGTGAACGAAGTGCGTGTTAACGTCGCCAAGCCAGTATGGTCATTCAATAAATAATGTAGGAAAAGCGGATGGTTCTTGGGTAGGTCCAGATCGAGGATGCGTTAGTAGCTCGGGGCCTTGGGTGAATGTGGGCTCGACAGTGTGCAGACAGTGCTCCGTTTTTCGTGCATGCTAACGTCGCCAAGCCAGTATTTTCATTCAGTCAATAACGTAGGAAAAGCGGATGGTTCTTGGATATGTACAGATCGAGGATGCGTTAGCAGCTCGGGGCCTTGGGTGTTTGTGGGCTCGACAGTAAGCAGCCAGTGCTCCGTTTTTCGCGCGTGTTAGCACACCGTCATTCAGCCAAAACTTTCATTCGATCAATTATTTGGGAATCGCGGTTAGGTCCAGACCCAAAGGATGCGATATTTAATAGTTCGGGGCCTCGAGTGTAGGGGCTGGACAGGACAGTAAGCAGACACAGCTTCATTTGTCGTGCGTGCAACGCCATCATTCAGCCAGTCTCGACGTTCAATCTTGCTGGGGGAAGGTGGTTGGTTCTGAGGTAGGTCCAGATCGAGGATGCGTTAGCAGCTCGGGGCTTCAGTGGTACTTTGGTGTGTAACGGGTTGGGTAGTAAGTGGACTTATGAGCGTCGGGGAATATTCCACGGATATAATGAGCCTCTTCAACTGCCGCGTGAGCGTTGTTTTCAGGCCTTGTTTCAACCTTCGTCAGACGACGGTTTACAGAGGCTTCGGTAGTGGTCTAAAGTGGTAATTGTCAAGGACCCGATTTTGGTTGTCCCTCCATAGCTTTTGACTGAGATCGAATAAAACAATAAAAGACAGTTTTAGAACGCCCGCAGCAAGGCGCAAAAGAGTAGCGAGTCGCCAGAGAAAAGAAAAAATAAGTGCTCGCGGCGGTCTCGAACCCTCGACCTAGCCCCTAGATCAGATTTTCACCCAAATATATTCTTACAGCGGATTATTACTTTTCTCGCCAAACCACCTACACGTGTACCGGAAGACCCCCAACCACTTCACAGATGCCTCTGCCGCGCCTAATGCGTGTTTATATCACCCGTCAACGTACTTCCGTTGCAAATATTGTATATGTCCAACAAAAACATCCTTTTTTTGTACAACCTTCCCTCCAGAAAACATGGGGAAAAAACTGAAAAAGTTCACCTCAACGAACAAGAATGCGCCATCCATTTACTGTCTCCATTCCTTCGGAGTCGGGCGCCTGTGTGACTTGTATTTCTTGTACGTCTTCTTGCCTTCAGGCCCTTCCACACGCGTCTCCCGGTACATGAGGGCGTGTGTATATGCCTTCTTGCAGTAGCCCTGGACTACCGGAACAGCCTGCCTACCCTTCTCTGCTCTAAAACTTAGCGGCACGTTTTTGCGCAAGTATTCCAACGAATACGTGCAATTCTTGAGAGTCCAGTCCTTCGCCCGTCCCCAAACAAATTCGATGGGGTTACACTCGCAGTGGTACTTAGGAAGCATGAGACAGGCCCGCCCGTGGCGCTGCATTAACAGCACCAGACTAGAATCAACTTCCTTGAAGTCTTTCTGCTCTCCTAGAACGTGCTCCATGCTCTTGCTGAGGTCCTGCTTTTCGCCTGAGCCCCCGGTCTTACTCATGCCTTTGACCAGGAGCCCCCTCTCCCACAAGATCTGCCGCATTCCTTTCAGCTTTCCGACATACTCGGCCGGCCGAAGATACGGGGAGTGGAAGGGGGGGGCGTCTCCCCTCCGCAACGTAAAGTGCTGTATCGTGCCCGGTGGGGGGTTCGGGGTGTCTTCGAGGATGGTCACGGGGTCTATCGGCGCAAGCCCTCCTTCGTTCTTCACACCACCGACACCCAAGTTCATTCTCTTCACCGACGGTGCGCCGGCCTCCATGCAATCATCACAGGACGACCAGTCGAACAGGTCTACAGGCTTTTGCTCAGGGTAGAGAACTGTGAACACGTCCAGCACGTCTGCCGTGTGGTCCAGCATCTTGAGCCTGGTCCAGTATCCCGCATTGTTCTTGCCGAACTCGAAGAGGTGGTAGGACCAGTACTGTCCGTCCTCGTCTTTGTGTAGTATGTAGTATGTCGATAGGGCGAAACTTCTCGACTTTCACGTTTTCCCCCCGCCGCTTCGCGGCAACTGGGGCAGCGCATCGTTTCCTGCAGTTGCGCTCCGCCTCCTTGATCTGTTCCCGCCGAGAAGAAGCCGAGGTTGTGGATGATCGTCCCCGACACCATGATCCTCTGGCCGTGTGACTTCTTGACGGGCACGTGCTGGCTGTCCCGATAACACGCGTACCTCTGGTCGTCGTTGGCTGCAAATTCGGAAAGGACACCGAAATCTTCTCGTCGTCATGGCCATCGAATTATAGACCTTTTTTGCCGTCGTGGTATTCGCATCCCATCTTCTCCAGTGACTCCGTTGCCGTCGAAAGGGAGATTTGTTGCCTTGGCGGCTCGTTCTCCTTCCCTTCCACCAGTTAAATCTCAATCCATGGACTGGGTCGAAGTCCTCCGTTTGTTGCGCCTCCAGCATCGGCATGATGGTGCTGTTCACCCACTTGCGGAAATCCTCCGTCTTGTTGGCTTGCCCGCTGAGTATCCCGCAGTTCTCGAGCGCCCAGCCTTTCGCGAGCCTCGCGACGCTTTCGTCGAGTTCCAGCAAAAACCGGCGCTTGAAGCGACCTGTGTCAGGTGGCTTGATGCGTCCGCGCGCGTCGAAATCCCGCTCCCACAGCTGTACTGTTGGAGCACTCCTCCGTCCAACCTCTGCTGCGATGGCCAGTGCATCCTTCCGGTCGACCCCGTTGAGCTGCTGGGTGTACAGCTGGATCAATGTCATGGCCACCTGGACCATGTGCGTCAGCATGCAGTTGGACAAAACGCCCTCTGCCGTGTTGGTGTCCTGCGCGAAGGGGCGGTGTCGAGGGCGGCAACAAATCTTTCCATTTTCAGTAGCCGATTTGTTTGACAGCAGTGTTTCTGACAGCAGTGCTTCGAGTATTTTTTTTAGCTGAGAATGCAGGTTGGTCAATTAATTACTCTGGCGGTCGCAGCCGGAGATCGGAGGGGGTGGTGGCGCCCTACAAACTCCGCCCCAACCAAGCCCTGTTGACAAATAAAACAGCAGTGCAAATCACAGAGTGTAGACCCAGATTCGAGCACGGCATGCTGAAGAAAAGAATCACAATGATCATAAATGCCGCTGTAAATTACTCACATCTGCCATCTCCGCTGCTGCGCTGATCGACTTCGCCGCATCTTTCACGACGAGGTCGAGCGTCTCGACACTCTCAGCGCGAAACTCGTCCGCCGCTGCCGCGAGCAACTGGGCTCTCATCTCCGCCCGTTTCGCACGCCTAATCTTCTTCGCGGCTTGGGATGTATTGTACGTGCCCTTGTTAAGATATTTCTTCTTCGCGTCCTCGGCCCACTCAAGTTCGAACTCTATCCAAGCCCGCACGACTTCTTCCAGACTGCTGGCAGACAGGTTGAACGCCCCAGGAACTGCGTCCTGTAGTTCTTGGCGCAGTCTCAACGCCCGCGCCCGCTAGGCAGCCCTCCCCAATGATCCAAAGCGTCGTCCGGCGTAGTCACGTCGTCCGCCCCTGTTTGGATCTCGCGATCTTCCTGCACCTGCAAGATCAGGTTCTGTGAACCGATGGCCGGGGCTGCGGTTCTAACTACACACTCCCGCGGAGGTGCGCTCTCCATGGGCGCATCGGATGAGCTGTTTTTTTGAAGGGCCTCCCAGTCAACAGCAGTAACATTGTCGAGGATGCTTCTCTCCGCGATGGCGTCGCGGCCGCGTGGCTTTCCAGACGTGATCCAGCCGCCCCTCCAATTCACTCAGTGCTGTCGCCCGACCTCGAGTACAGCACTACACGGTACTTTCGTGGCTTCTGTCTATCGATGCTAAGTGTGTTGCGCAGCTTGAATCCGTCAGGAACTGACTGCTATAGGGCGGAGATCATCTCTTGCTCGAGCTCCATTCGGTTGCCGGTCTTCACAACAACATGTGTACACCTCCCATGTGCGGTGTCAGCTGCTGCCCAAACCAACGGTCGGGCCGCATATTGTTTGAAATTTTCTCCTTGAGAGAATTCGACCTGGAGCCCGGCCAAACCGGGTTCAGAACCAGGTGATCTAGAACCAACTTTTGGCGAGGATTCCAAACATATATGTATTTTTTTTCACCGAGGTGGTTGTTGTTGTTGTTGTTGTTGTCTTCACATTAAAAACCGTTCCNGTTTGAAATTTTCTCCTTGAGAGAATTCGACCTGGAGCCCGGCCAAACCGGGTTCAGAACCAGGTGATCTAGAACCAACTTTTGGCGAGGATTCCAAACATATATGTATTTTTTTTCACCGAGGTGGTTGTTGTTGTTGTTGTTGTTGTCTTCACATTAAAAACCGTTCCGATCTCTCTCTACCCAGTACCTTCGCATGTCCGTACTGATACAACACTCGACGAGGTCGATTCCCGTGGTCGCAGGCTAACTTGCCCGAAAAATGGAACACTCAAGTAAAATGGTCCCGAGGGGTCCGCAAGTCAATGGAAATCAACGACAGATATTCTGGAGTCCTCCATTCCCTCTGCGCGCTATGCGAGGTAACAACTGAGACTAGGAGTCACATCGCAGGCCGGAGAGAATGAGGTACACCCCCTTGGTTCAATCTTGGTACTTCACAACGCAAGCAGAAACAAGGCCATTTGGCACAGAAAGAGAGAAAAAGAGAAAAGAGAAAAAGAGAAGAAAATAAAAGGAAACAGTAAGGATAGAGAAAATGAAACAAAAAGAGTGAGGACAAAAAGGGACCAGGCCGAAAATAACAAGAAACAAGACACAGAAAAAGGAAAACGGTGGAGAGACCACTAACTACAAGCAAACACGCAAACATGGCCACCAACCAGCGATGCATTGTAATGGTACGTCATCACTAGTAGGGGGTTGGTGCAATGCAATGGTGCAGCGTTGGGGGGGGGG